AAAATTAATGATTTTCGGAAAACTGATATGACAAATTGCTTAAAATTTTAGTTCTTATAATAAATTGAAAAATGTGTATAAGTTCATATGACACTTCAAAAAAATTTCTTTAATTATAATTTACTATTATTTCCTATCAATTTTTTTTTTTCTAGTCTCATGGATTTTCTATAAATAATGGTTACCTCCTATGAATAATCATGTGAATTGCATTTGAATTACAACCCAATTCCACCAAACCTTCCACTTGAAGACTTGCGCTTCCTGTGGGTGTGCGGAGTGAATTTGCCACCAAACATCCAACTAAGTATTTTCCAATTTTTCTGAACACCAAAGGCGAAAAGGGTTCTAATAGTATCTAGCCTAGCCACTAGTGCAAAAAGGTTTCATTGAATCAATACATGGTTTCTGTGGATAACCTTTTGCCATCAATCAAACCTTGTTCTTTTGAACTGGTCCATCAAAGATTCAGCTTGGTTTTAAACACCCATTCCACTCCAATCACATGTTTATCTGAGTGTCTGCTTACTAGTTCCCAAGTGTGATTTTTCTCTATCATACTCAACTCATCTGCATTGCTTTGTTCCATGAAACATCATTTGCTGCTTCTGCATAGCTTTTTGGTTCCACAAACATAGCTTTCTGGTTCCACAATGCTCATAAACTTCACTAATCCTCTGTATTTAAGAGGAGTTACATCATAGCTCTCAGGATCAATAGAGCTAGTCTGTGAACTAGAAGCTTCACTCCAAGATTAATATGGTACAGAGAGAGTAGTAGTTGACTTAGTGTGTTGTTCTGATGTGACAGACTCAACTTCATTCTCATTACTTCTTCACAAGTTCACATTTTGTGGCAATGAGTGGGTGTTCGGACTTCTTTTACTGAACTTATCGCCCAGTCCTATTTAGCATTTTCATTGAATAAAACATCTATAGAGATTAGAATCTGCCCATTGCTTGGATTATAAATCATGTGTCCCTTTTCCCATGTGTTATAGCCAACAAAGATTCCTTTTGTGCTTGTAAGTTGTACTTTATGTCTCAAATTGCTCTGTACAAGAAAATAGCATACCGAACCAAATACATTCAGATGTTTTACTCCTAGTTTTCTTCCACTAAAGAGACCTTAAATGGTGTGATGTCATCTAAGGCCTTTGTGGGGCACCTATTCAATGGATACACAGATCTGTGAATTGCTTCACCCTAAAGAAGATAAGGTATCCATTTCTCATGTAGCATGCACTTTGCCACATCCACAATGATTATGTTCTTCCTGTCTGCTACTCCATTCTGTTGTGGAGTGTAAGCTACAATCAACTGTCTTTCTATTCCCAGATATTCACAAAATGTGTTGAATTCATTTGAAGTGAGCTCTCCCTCTCTGTCAATTCTCATTTCCTTCCGTGAGTAGCCACTTTGTAATTCCACCATTGACTTGAACTTCTTGAACACATTGAAAATCTATGACTTTTTCCTCAAGAAAAATGCCCAACACATCCGAGAGTAATCATCAATGAAGGTAAAAAGTATTTGTTATCAATATCTGTATTTTCATGGGGCCACAAACATCAGAATGTTCAAGCTCCAATGGTTCTGTAGCTTTCCATGCTTCTCCTTGGGAAATGCATCTCAATGGTGTTTTCTCATAACACATCCTTGACATACCTCATTTCTTTCTTGAATTTCAAGCAATCCTAGCATCATGACCTTTTTTCTAGCAGATGCTTCAAACTCTGATAGTTGAGATGGCCAAATCTCCTATGCCAAATAAGAGAGTCCTGCCCAAGTTTGTTCTTAGTCCAAGCTGATTTCCATTCTCTTATGTATTTCTTGCCTCTCATTGTCCTAATGACAAGTGAGCCCTTTCCTACAACATCCACTAGCACTCCAATTCCTACTTGCACTTTAGCTTTGACATTTCTATATATTTCCACAAGCCAATCCTCCCTTGAGGTCGTATGATTGCTACACACACTGTCTATATACCACACATCCTTGTTCTTATGGTCAGTGGTTGGTTTGCTTATAGAGAACAAATTTCCTATCTCCTCCACTTGATTGGCGTAATTCACTTGCTACACACTGCTGTTGAGATTGCAGTCTCTAGCCAGATAGCCAAACTTGCTGCACTTGTGACATTTTGGCTTCTACTTATTCCAACACTCACCATAGTGCAGTTTATAAAATATTTTGCAAGGTACTTTTGCCACATAATTACCCTACTCTTGTTTCGCTAGGACAGTGGTCTTGTTAGTCCATTGTTTCCCTTTGTTCTTGAACTTCTTCTGAAGTTTGAGATTGCTAGATTAACCACCAAACCTATTGTTTTGCTTAGTTGAGATATCCATACTAGCAAATGCCCTCTCAGGTTTATTTTCACCAAGTTTATTCAGCTGTTGCTCATAACCTTTCAAAATGGCTACCACATCTTGTGCATCAATAGTCTAAAGATCTTTAGGATACTCAATCACATAAGCAATACTATCATAAACAACTTCTGTACAATTCTCTGATTTTTCAATTCTTCACTATAGCTTTTCATTTGATATATTAGATCAAACATTCTAATCAAATACACAGATAGAGATTCATCTTCATCCATACACGTATACTCAAAATCACGTCTAAGACCTTGTAATTTCACTAACCTCACTTGCTTATCACCAACGAAACTCCCACTTTAGAATATCCCAAGCAGCCTTAGCAGTCTCCTTATTCGTAATTCTTGGAAAAATCTGATCAGAGATAACATCCTGAATAGTCATTGTGACCCCAAGGCTTGGTGTACATAGCAAGAACCCACTCAAAGTGACAAGATTGGCAAGGACCTATAACCTGCACCGCTTATCCTTACTAACGGTATAATGCCCAGTGCACTTGCATCTTTGACAATGTTTTCTTTCAGCAGCTGATAGATCTTCTTCTTTCTTCTCCGGGACATCAACTCCCTTCTCAACCAGATTCCAGAGCTCATGGGGTTGGAAAATGGTTTTCATCTTGATTTGCTAGAAATTGAAGTCCTCACCCTTGAAGATCGGTGCTCGCAGCCCATTTCCCCTAGGCCCAGTAATGTTAGACCCATATCTGAGCAATCGAAGTTCGTAGCAACGAGAAAATTGCCCTGATTCAACTCGTGATTCTCACAAACTTGAAACGCCAAGATTTTCAGACTCAACTAGGCTCTGAGGTCATGTTAGAGCATCTCTAATGAGGGCTTTATTTTCCACGAGGTTACCACATTTCCAGCCTCAGTAATAAATTTCATCATCAATGAGCCGAAACATAGAACTAGATCTTCCATTGGGGCTAACAACTTCCTGTCTTGGATAGTATAAAATCGGGCTACATCTAGCCCTAAAAAACAGTGGGTTTCACAAAAAAAGTAGCAATCCATATGAACAAAATTCTATCACTCTACCCCCACTTGCGAATACACTTATACTCTCCTTTTATTATTTTTTAAATTCTTTTATCTTACTTATTTTTCTTGCAATTTGGCTTATTAATGATTGTTTTAAATTCCATAAGAATTAAATTTCAAATTGATTCAATGTTCATGGGCATTGATGGGTGAAATTTTCAAATAATTTTTTTCAAAATTGTATGATACTAATTTACCAATTGGTGTTAGGTAAATTGTTGTGTTATATGTGAATCAAATTATTTCAGAGGGCGTAGTTGAGATTGAGATAAGGAAATTTAATCCAACGAACGATTCATAAGTGATGAAATCTAACTTTGTCACAATTTGAAATTTTTAGATTGAAGGGTTCATAAAAAAATTTAAGATAACATGTCCAAAAATCAACTTAAAAAAAGTAAACACAAAAAAAAAAAAAAAATCATCGCTTAATCAAATTACTATATAAATAAATATATATATATATGACCCCATATAGAGCCCGAAAGATAGAGCCCATCATTGGAAGATATTCTTTTATAAAGCCCAAAAGATTAATCGGAGCTTTAAAATTGACTATATCCATCACTTTTTCAACTCCATATAGAACCCCTCACGGGGATTTTCTTAGAGTTTGATTCAGATTGTACGTGCGCGCGTGTGTGTGTGTGTGTAACGAGAAGAATGAAAGAGCATTATTGATTTATACACAATTTTGGATTGAATGGGAAGCAAGAAGGAAGAAGAATTGAATCTGCAAAACTAAAGAATGTGACTGATATTTTTTCATTCTTCCACACACTCAGCATGTGAGCTTAAGACAAGTGGCATCATTAAGCCTTTCTAAACCACAATAAACATACTCTAAGAAATTACACCTGGAAATCAGTGAACACATTTTCTTGTCAACATGACCACCCTGCCACCCCTCCAGATCACATTCGCAAACCTACTCCATTCAGATCGTGAACCTTGATTGGTCCCAGCTTGCCGTTGATTGTACTGCACTTGTCCGTTAATATGATCTACTCCAGCGATATATTTCAGTTCTACTACGCACATATGTTTTTAGTGCATGATCAACAATCCGTAAGCACCTGTTTCGTTGGTATGTACTTCTGTTCCTAGTGCATGATCAACAATCCACATGCATATGTTTCCTTGGCATGCACATATGGTCTTATTGCATGACTAACACCATGCATGATCAACAATCCACAATAACCAACAGTCAGGAAACGAGCAACTCGGCTGCAAATTTTAGAGCTTTTAACCAATACAACTTGAAAATTTGTGTGAACAGCGAGTAAGGTTGAGTCTTTAACCCAACCAACACATCGCCTTAACTAAAATTATACAACACCTATGACACCATAGTTGACTATAAATGCATACCTGGATTAGTATTTCCCCTTATTATGTATCATACATTTTCTAGTTTATTGTATCTTCCATAAACATCCGAACTGCATCCGAATTACAACCAAATTCCACCAAACCATTCTGCATTCATTAGACTTAACACAATTTTCCTTTGTACCATTATTTTATGCTGTTAAAATTATTAAATGTACTTCTTATAACTTAAGCAGAACTTTGAGGTGACTAAACAAAGAATAAAGAAGATGTTCAATAAGGTTGATCTCTCTGTTTCCTCGTACGATACTGCTTGGGTGGCAATGGTCCCTTCTCCAAATTCTCAGGACCCTTTTTTCCCTGAATGTGTCAACTGGCTATTGTGTAATCAACTCCATGACGGGTCATGGGGTCATCCAAATTTCCATCCTTTGTTAAAGAAAGATGCTCTTTTATCTACGTTAGCATGTATCCTTGCACTAAAGCAATGGAGTGTTGGTGAAGAGCTAATTAACAACGGTATACACATCTGTTGCTCTTGCTAAGTAAATTTCCTCCTTTAATAATTAATGTTCTATGATGAACATCTGATCCTCTCCCTTATTCCTGTAGGACTACGTTTTATTGAGTCAAATATATCTTCAGCTACCGATGAAGTGCAACAATCTCCTCTTGGATTTGATATAATATTTCCTTCTTTGATACAATCCGCAATGAATTTGGATATCAATCTTCCCCTTGGAGAATCAACCCTGGCCAGTATTTTCCACATGAGAGACTTTGAGCTTCAAAGGTATGACGTATTCTTGGGTTTTTAATTGTTGTCATAGGTATTCCTTTGTTGTTACATTTTTCCCCTATTATTACAAGCGATATTACTACTCTAAGCTAAACTAAAGGGAAGGATGAGAGTTTGGATCTGGGAAATAGTGAGTTGAAGAGCAAGGTCCTATCCTCGAGGGCAACCCACCACTTGCATAAAATTGTCGTCATTGTTGTTGTGACAATTACATTTGCTGCTATGTTTCGAAGCCATGGCTTGGCTATTCAAGCCACCTGAGCTCAAATCTATAGATGTAGGTTTATTATAAACTCGGAAAGTGTTCTTTCACCAGGGTGTAAAATAACAAATATCTTTCTTCAGATATGGATTGATAAACACGTGCACAATTGAATCTGTTCTTATGCTCTAAAAAATGGTTATTTTTTTTATATTGCATTCTAAACTATTCAAAGTCAACATCTATCTTGTTTCCAAATGTTATCCTTTAGAGGAAATGGAAGCAACTCAGAGGGTTGGAGAGCCTTCTTAGCTTATATTTCGGAAGGAAATGCAGAGTTGCAGGATTGGCAGACGGTTATGAAGTACCAAAGGAAGAATGGGTCCTTGTTTAATTCACCATCAACCACAGCCGCTGCTTTTACTCACACTAAGAATGCTGATTGTCTTCAGTACCTCCGCAGACTCTTAGACAAGTTTGGGAATGCAGGTTCCTCCCTCCATATATTTTACTAGTTTTCTAGCTAACTAGGTGTATTATCACTACATGAAGACGGGTACACTACAGTTAATTGATTAATTTTTATTGACTTTCAGTTCCAACGATATATCCTCTAGATAAATATGCTCGTCTTTCTATGGTTTCCAGCCTTGAAAGTTTGGGTATTGATCGACATTTCAGGGAGGAAATTAGAAGCGTAATCGATGAAACATACAGGTAACTAAACTTCCCTTATAAATATTTATGTAGACACCAGCTCTGTTGTAACACAATTGTTCTAAGAGTATATTCTTAAGCGAAAAATTAAGTTTAGTGACATAGCGAACTGGTTCTTATTCATGTCGGAGCATGACATAAGCCGAGAAACTGCAGATTATGGCTGCAGGGGGATGAAGAAATATTTTCAGATGCTGCCACCTGTGCAATGGCGTTTCGACTCTTACGTGTTAATGGATATGAAATTTCTGCAGGTATTTTTCAATATTGGTGCCTAGCTTGGTCTTCACCAATTGGGGTTGACAACTGCCAGAAATTAACTAACTGATTTATGTGCTGTCTATGTAGATCCATTAGTAAAATTTTCCGAAGATTGTTTCTTCAATTCCTACGGAGGATACTTGAAGGACGTTAGTGCTGCCTTAGAATTGTTTAGGGCTTCCGAAATCATCATACATCCAGATGAGTCAATTCTTGAGAAACAAAACTACTGGACAAGTCATTTTCTGAAAGAGGAGCTATCCAATATGTTAATTCAGCCTCATAGACCGAATAAGCACATTGCCCTAGAGGTAATTTCGTACATATGATAAGTCTCTTAGATTTGGTGATGTTTTCTTCAATCCCAAAAATATTATGCTCTATATGCAATTTCTGATTGTTTTCAGGTGGATCATGCTCTTAAATCCCCTTACCATGCAAATTTGGGTCGGTTATCAACCAAGAGAGCTATAAAAAATTACAACACAGATGGTACAAGGATTCTGAAATCTTCGTATAGGTGAACCTCCTATATTTTCAACAATATAAAGTAGAAGCAGTGGGTTTGTTGTCCAAAAACGGTTGCCATGTTTTTGAATTAAAACTTGAACAGTTTGTCCGTAACCACTGCTTGGTTTGTATGGCAGCTACCAATTGGAATCATGCAAGAGATGTATTTCTTGGTTATTAAATTAATAACGGCTATTATTAATGTCCAACACCTGACAACTCTTGAACAAGAGTCATGTCTGAAGAGATGCTTCAACCACTATCAATAGAGGCAGTCTGCACATATTTGTGAATATCCGGAATAATCATTCTTTCTCTTCGTCAATATTCCTAACAAAGGCTCCTCCATTTATATATTATTTTCTTATAAAAAAGCCTCAAGAAACTAAAATCTGCAGTTGGTTTCTAGTTAAATCTTGAGCATTCATGTCTCTCACTGTGAGTGTTTGGGGTTTGTCTTAAAAGTGTGCAAAACTTTGATAAATAATAGGCATAAGGCCAGGATTCATAGTATCCACAAGGCTTATTCGCAGATCCCCTTTGCACTCTAGATGTGGGAGCAAATAAAGTCTGAAAGATAGCATATTTCCATGCACTTTGAAGCAATCTTTCAACCTTCGTCGTAACCATAACCCACATCATGACCATAACCCTCATGTTACAAAGTTTCTACAACAACTGATTTCCCAGGCGTTCAGTTTCCTGTTTTTTAAGAAGATATTATCTGCTGAATTATTATGAGGGACTGCATTGTTTTCATTAGCTCTTTGAATATTGGACATGAAGATTTCCTCGAACTGGCAGTGGAAGACTATAACATTTGCCAATCTATACATCGTAAAGAGTTCAACCATCTTGAAAGGTGAGTGCAATGCAAAGTAGCATGTTCTTTCTCTTTTAGTTTACTTTTCTTTCTTTTCTGAATTCTGAAATTTGGTCCATGTAAGCAGGTGGGTTGTTGAGCACAGATTAGACAAGCTAAAGTTTGCTCGGCAGAAGCAAGCGTACTGCTACCTCTCTGCTGCTGCAGACCTTTTCCCTCCGGAACTATCAGATGCTCGCATGTCATGGGCCAAAAATGCATTTCTCACAACTGTGGTTGATGATTTCTTTGACATTGATGGTTCGGAAGAGGAACTAATAAACCTTATACAATTGGTCGAGAAGTATGTGATTCCTTTTCCGTTTCCACTCAATCTGTTGTTAATGAATCACTTCTTGTTATGGTTATCACTAGTGTTCCTTTTATTCAACCGCAGGTGGGACGTAGATGCAAGTGTTGATTGTTGTTCTAAGCACGTTGAAATCATATTTTCAGCACTTAGGTACACAATTAGTGAGATTGGAGTAAAAGCGTTCAACTTGCAAGGACGTAATGTGACAACCCACATAATTAAGATTGTAAGATAAAGTGTTTTAGTTTTGGTTTTGATAGCATTACTGATCAGGACTTCCTGAGCATCAGAAAAAAACTTTCAAGTGCTTCACCTTAATGAAGTATCATAGAATATCATGAAACCCTTTTAACAGTAACTAATTTTGACATTTTAACTTTCTGTTGTATGTTTTTCAGTGGTTGGATTGCCTGAACTCTATGTTAAAAGAAGCTGAGTGGTCGAGAAACAAGTCCGTGCCAACAATGGATGAATATATGGCAAATGCAGGAACATCATTTGCCTTGGGACCAATTGTCCTCCCAGCTCTCTATTTTGTTGGGCCTAAACTTTCAGAGGAGGTTGTAGGAAATTCTGAACTCCAGTATCTGTTCACGCTTATGAGCACTTGTGGGCGTCTTCTCAATGATGTCCAAAGCTTTAAGGTAGACAACCTCTCCAGTATACGCTTATGAACTAGAATAGTATACCATCTAACATTGTTGGTTTGGTTTTGGACTAACTTACAACTCAAATAATATATTTTGTAGAGAGAATTAGCGGAAGGGAAGTTAAATGCTGTATCGTTGGCCACGATTCATGGTGGTGGTACTGTATCTGAGGAAGATGCGATCAATGATATTAAGAACGTTATAACAAGTGAGACGAGAGAACTGCTAAGAGTTGTTTTGCTGGAGAAGGGTAGCGCAGTTCCAAGAGCTTGCAAGGATTTGTTTTGGAACTTGAACAAAGTGATGCACCTTTTTTATTGGAAGGATGATGGGTATGTTGGGAACGAGATGATGAAAGCCGTAAATGAAGTCATTGGAGAACTTATTGTTCTTCAATGAATTGCAAGTAAAAAGTGATTAACTAAATGGCATGTGTATACATTAAGGCTGCAAATTGACAACTATTCTAATTATCAGCAATTGTGGACACCCTTCATGCGGAGATCGAACTCCAATTTAGTTTGGTTAATTTTTCATTATAATGATTCATTTAGCTTTGTCAAAAAGGTTATTGTTACAACTTGTAGCTTAAAATTTGTATTTTAATCTCAGACCACGTCACCTGAGACCTGTCTAAGGTTTTTCAACGTTCTGATCATACGACACCCTCCTTTTATGCAAATTCATTGTCTAAATAGTAGTTTCAGACATAGTTTAGTTAAATGACAAGAAAAGCTTAGTTAAGCTAAAATGTTACATTCACATCAACAACAATATGGGTTATCTGAATGAAAGCACCAATTGTTAGAACTAAATCTGTGCACCTCCGTGAGCGGCGGTTGAGCACAAACTCGAGCAACTTGCAAAACAATAAACAACCTGTAAGGATGCCTAAGACCTCCCTTGTTGTGGGGGGGGGGGTATGTGTGTGTGTGCTTGTCAAAGGCTCTATGATGTTCAAGTTAGTGAATAATTTTAGACTCAAGTAGTGGGTAATAGAATTCAAGTGGGTAATTTTAGACACCGGGATTGAATGAATAATTTATGTTAAAACCAAATCTTAATTAATTATTTGAAATCAAAGTTTAGAAAAGCTTGATTTAATAACCTAAAATATTAAAAACGAATTTTAAAATAAAACAATTAAAGAAATTAACTAGAGAACAATTTAAAGAAAGTCAATTTGTAAAACCTAGGGTTCAGCTGTCACCTTAACAATCCTACGTAGTTCTTCTAATTCCTTATGAATTACACATGCATATTTTGAAGGTTAGGTTTTTCTAAAGTATGCCATATTTGGAACCCCCAACATAGAACGTATATCTAACATGCAACTCGTCGTGGCGTCCATATCGAATGTGAACATGCAAGACTCATTAAGTTTTGTGAAAACCTTTTGAAAAACCATATAACTTCTAAGACGTGTTGTCCATCCTAATTAGTTACACATATTAACCACAAGAAGCCAGCGCCAATTTTAGGGATAGCCCTCCGCCAAAATTGCATAGAGTTACTTTTCTAAATATCCTAATGGTCGCGAATCACTAAGACAAATAGATAGTTTAAAGCACAGTGATTAATAATTCAAAACTTGCATGCATAATATCATAAGTAAATTGAAAAGAAACTACATATTCTTGCTAAGGCTCGTGGCCTTACCCTAGCAATTGAAACTGGTTACTAACAACCATAAAGCAAAATATTATTAAGAATATAGATAGAAAACACCTTAAAAATAAACTTGACTTGTTAAAAGCTCTCCAAAGCCAAAGTATTGCGTTCTCCCCCCTCTTTTCTAATGGCTAAAAAGTCTTATTTATACTACTAGAAAATAAAACCCTACCTTGAAAAGGTTTTAGTATAAAACTAGGAAACATAATAAAATGATAAAATAGAAAATAAAAAGTTTCCTATTTGAACTAGAATTTGGAGTTCTTAGAAAATCACACTTTTGACTGACCAAATCAACTCTGATTTGGTCCCAATGTCTCTTTTGAAAGATGAAGACGTCCCCTACAAATTCTTAGACGGAATCTTCCTCAAAATACGCCATCTTGACCTCCAAAATGCTCAAAACATCCAGAAACATCAATCTGGGAAAGCTGCGCGCTGGGCCTTTATTTCATCGCCACGATCAAACAGCTTGGTAGCAAAACTTGGAATTTTGACACAATCATCTTGAAAGGCACACGAACATCCTCCAATTGGAATCATAGCAAAATTCATCTGTTTGATTACTTTTTGCTCCTGAGGAAGTCGAATGTCCTATATTGAAAATACATAACAAAGTATCAAAATTCTACCAAAATAACTAATAAATTAATACTAAGAATAAGGTAAAATATATAATATAATATTAACTCATCATTTACCACTGGAACTTTGTTGATTCTCTGCACGAGAATGGCCAATGATTGTAAGGGTGTCTATACCTCGTTAATTTCGTTGGAATATCGAAGTTGATAGAACAAGAACAAAAATGAGAAAACTCTCTCAAGCTGTACTCAATATTCCATTCAATTCATCATAAACTTCATCTCCTCTAGAAAGCAAAATACTCTTATTTATAAAAACTCTAACCCCCTCTTAATAATTACCGATACATGCATCATTGCTAGATTCAGCGAACTCATTAAATAAAGAGTGAGTCCTCCTGCATCAAAGGTCTTTAATATTTCGTGTTCAACGAAAAATTGGGCGGGGTTTACAATTTTTCATTATTGATTGCGCGACGAAGGATAAGTTGCGTGACGAATAGAGCTCTCACCCTCTCTCGAACCCAGTTCTCTCGAACCCAGTTCTCTCTCGCCCTCTCTCGAACCCAGTTCTCTCTCGCCCTCTCTCACTCACTCTCATTGTCGCATCACCCTCCCCGCCGCATCATCGCTTCCAGCTCTCACTCCTCCGCCGCATCACCACCTCTATCACCATCTTAAGGTAACTTAGATTTATACTTTAAATTGTTATTTTTTATTGTAATTTAAATTCGTGTTGTATGATTAGGGGATTAAGGATTAGGGGATTTAGAGTTCGGGGAGGGGTGGGGTTGGGGATGGGTGGTGAGGGGTAGGGGTTCGTGGGGGAGGTGTGGGGTGGGGGTTCAGGCAATTGCCAGAGATTTTGACAGGGCCATTGATTTCCAGCCTTTGCTTGACCGTCGACAATGGTTGAGATTTATCGGGGTTTCGAGCATCGGTCTCTCGGATTAAAGAAGAAGGTGGGTTTGGGCTTACCCACCAAGTCGAGCCTATTTTCGAGATCTGCCATCGACCCAGATAAAAGATTACCATAAACCTGAAGTTTGTTTTATTTATTTATTTTTTTTTTTTAGGGGTATGCGACGCTAGGGTTTGAATTTGAACTCGCATTCGATCGAAAAATGTTAAGAATAAAATTAATTTTTGTCCATTAAGAATGAATGGATTGATTGGAAAAGAAACTTACCGTCGGATTGTGGATGAGGGCGGTGGAGGAAAAAAGATGTGATGGTAGCTATTAGGAGAGAGGGCAAGTGGAAGAAGACGAGGGAAGTGGGTTAGAAATTTTCTTTACAGATTTTTAGAATTTTGCAATAGTTTATTTTTTTGTAAAATCCACGTGGCATTACATTATTGGATTTGTGGGTCCTATATTTGTGCCACGTAAGCAAACTAACATAATTATTGATGGGGTTCTAACGGAAGGACCATATTGACGTGCGGTGGTGAATTTCAAGGACCAAATTGATTGATTTTGAAACTCAAAAACCAAAATAATGAGTTTGGTCAGTCTCATGAACCATTTATGATAAATACCTTTTTTTTTTAATTTCTGCATTTTTTTTATATTTACGTTTTTTGCAGATTAGGGTTTTAGTTTTAGGATTGAGGTTAGGGTTTTAGTTTTAGGATTATGGTTTAGTGTTAGGATTAATTTTTTAATTTTAGGTTTAGGAATTTAGTTAATTTGTTAACTGTTTGCATTTTAGATTTTTAGATTTAGGAACAATTTTTAAATATAAGATTAGGCTTTTAGTTTCATGATTAAAATTTTAAAATATTTGGGTTTTAGTTTTAAAAATAATTTTTGTAATTTTAGGATTAAGATTTTAGTTTTAGGAACAATTTTTTTTTTTTAAATTTAGAATTAAGATTTCAGTTTTAGTATTGGTTTTACAATTTGAGAATTTATTTGATATTTCTGTCATTCAATTATTTTGTTGATGTTGCAGTTGATTTCCCAGCGTTGGGCATTTAGGGTGTCCCCTTGGGCACCTGCTGCTTGGGCCACCACTGCTCCACCGACAGTTTACTCGACGCTGGTTGCTTCGGTACCTCCTTTTGTGCCCTCAATGTCTAAGGCTCCCACATCATCGACTTCTTTGGTGAAGCATCCACCGATGAATGCACTCATCGACGCCCCCGCACTACCGTCCAGTTGGAGTGGTTTGCCTCGACATCAATTGTCAAGGGAGAGGGATCCTAAATAGGTAATAAATAATTTTGTTGGTCTTGTGATTTATTTCTGATTAAAAGTATTGTTTGTGATTATAATTGGTATCAAGTTTAGATTGTTGGTTTCATTTCATATATGTAATTAAACTATTGAAAATGTTGCTTGGATGTGTTTTATTGTTCTTTAACTGTTTGCAGGTTTTGGAAAATGCTATACTTTTAGGCGAAACTTTGCCGAATTTTGCGTCAGAATATTTAGTTGGTTTTGACCTTAAATATATTGGTTTTGCAGTTTAGAAAAATACTAGGAGGTCATGCAAACTTTTGAAGACCTCGAAGGTCATGCGCACTCCAAAAGACAAGATCAAATTACTTGGGATCCTTAACATCATGCAACCGCTATCAAGGAGCAGCATAGCGCGTTGTTTTCGATGTTGGGTCTGTTGTTTGGTCGGAGCCATTGCCCTGTCCAATGGGAGTCTTAGAGCAAGCCCAGCGTGGTTTTTAGCTCGGGGGAAGGTGGATAGAACAAGGGCCCGAGGGCCAGGGGATCAGCTCCAGCGTGGGCTAGCCTGACCGAAGGTGGAGGCCCGAGCTCCGGGCCCGTGGGGGATTGCCAGCCCGAGAGCCTGAGGCCATGTGACGTCAACGCTGACGTCAGCATGGCGTCAGGCAATATTAAATTTTTTTTGTGTCAGGCGCGTGCACCCCACTCGCGCGTGGGGGCGCGTCGCCGACACAAAATCAGAAAAAAAAAAAGTTTGTCAGTTACCGTTGGGAAGCCACGTGGCTTCCCACGGTCCGTTAGATGTCAACGGTTACTTAATTTGGACCGTTCAATCTCAACGGTCAAAAAAAATAAAAAAGTCAGATTTAATATCCACCGTTCGATCTGAGATCAATGGTGGATATTAATATTCTTTATAAATAAAAAAATAAAAGAAAAAATAGTTTTAAAATTAAGAAAAGTTACCGTTGTGACACGTGGCACAATCTGGAGTGTTGAAATTCAAATTTTTTTATATCCAACGGTAGAGATTAATTAATTGAATAAAAACTTAAAAAAAATTGTAAAAAATTCAAAAAAATTCAAAAAAAAAAAAATCTGAAAAATCTGAAAAAAATTGTTTTTACTTTTCTATAAATACCTTCTCATTATCATCTACTTTATACAACAATTTCATATTTTCTTAACTACTTTCAATCACATTCCTTTCCTTGTCTCAAAGTTTGAATCCATTTTTTTTCAATAAAATGACCACTGGTGCATGTATGAATTGGTCGCTTATTGAAGATGTTGCGTTGTGTACTAGCTGGGTTGAAATTACTCATAGTTCGCTTACGGGTAATGAGATGCAGTTGTGAGAGATGTGGAGTCTTATTCATACCAATTTTCTTGAGAAAATTGGTGGGAAAAAAACCAAAGAATCGATGTTCAGTTGTTGGAAATTACTTAGCCAATCGTTTAGTACGTGGAGAAACGTCTTGGCACAAGCTAGTAGTAATATTCGAAGTGGGAAAAATTACTCGGATCAGGTAATAATATATTATTTATTTGATACCCAAATTTACATTATAATTATTTGTTTGTATTATTTATTTGTTACCTACATAATTTATTATTTATTGTTTGTATTATTTATTTTTTACCTACTTACATTATAATTATGTTGTTTGTATTATTTATTTGTTACTTATTTTCATTATAATTATTTATTTGTATTATTTATTTGTTACTTGTTTTTATTGTTTAGGAACTTCAAGTACAAGCTTGGTACGCTGCCAAAACCAAAAGCAAAAATAAATCATTCAACCGGTGGGAATGTTGAAATATTGTCAAAGATTGTCCTAAATTTAGAGTTGTGCTAGTCGGTCCAGAAGTGCACATGAACAGCACCCCTCTACACTCTACACCCGATCATGTTCATGAAGATGATGCAGAAGAAGTGCCCAAAACGCCCCTCCCTGAACAAGCATCGGGTTTGACCCGTTATCCAATTAGGCCTCAAGGTAAGAAGGCTTCAAAGAGAAAAGGGAGTGCTTCCAAGAATGATTATGCAAAGTTCATAGAAGAACTTACTCGCCAAGGTGAATTGACTTTGGTGAGGGAATTGGCGAAATATGAGGTTGATAAGGCTAGAGAGGAAGCAAAAGCAGCAGTTGTTAAGAGAGAATTTCATGCTAATGAGAGAGAAAGAGAGCTACATAGGCAAGAAAGGGAACATGTTAAAGAAGAAAGACGGGCTCAACAAGATCGTGAGATTATGAACATGTCTTTAGAAGGGAAGTCTCCAAATTCTAAATTTTTTTGGAAGTCAGAGAAAACGGACGTGGTGTGAAGGAGGTGTGCAAGAGAAATGATAGCAAGCCAAGGTGGTTCTAGCACTGCAAGAGAAGATCATCCTAGCATCACAAATTGGTTAAGTGATGATGAATAGAGTACTTTTTGTAATCGGAGCCCATAATTTTCCAATCACTTTGGGTTGTAATTTATTATTTATTGTTTTTATTATTTATGTTGTTTCCAATTTATTGAATATTTATTCAAATTAATTTGGTAAGTTTTTATACTAAGAGAATAATTAAAAACTCACTAAAAAAACTCACTAAAAAAAATTATATAAACATAAGCATACGGAATAATTAAAAACTCACTAAAAAAAATTACATAAACATACCAAATAATAAAACACACCAAATAAAATAACATAAACATACCAAATTAAAAAAAACACACTAAATGAACTTAATTATCTTGAGCTTGTTTCAATGCCCACTGGTGCTCTATCAAGTCAATTTGTCGGACATTGTGCATGTCTGGCATTTGAAATGCAGTATTTCGTTGAATGAGTCTTTCATTGTAACGTCTATCCTTTGTAATGGCTCACGTTGCACGGGCTCATCGGTGGCGTCATGAGCACAATGTATACGTGTTCTTGAATTGTTCATCGGGTCTGGCTCATATTCATCAACAGCTTCATAATCGTACTCATCTTCCACAATCATGTTGTGAAGAATGATGCACGTCATCATGATGGATCGAAGCGACTCTACATCAAACAATCTGGCAGCATCCCTGACGATCGCCCAGTGATAGGAGCATATTTAGGCGACTTACTTAGCTTGTTTTCGTGCATCTATGTTGTTAATTCATAGTTGTTTTAGTAGTTTAAGCCATTTTCATGTGTTTTTAGGTTCATATGGCTAAGGAAGCAAAAAGATGCATTTTGGAGCAAAATTGGGCTTGGAATGGATAGCATATGATTGGAGCCAAAGTGTTGGACGAATTTGAAGGCCTTGTATTCATTTTGGACATAAAACAAAGGGCCTAGCCCATTCTCTCTTAAACCAACCCCAAGGCCATGCATTTCCTTCCAATTCCAAAGCCCACAATCACTTCAAAAGCCATGCAAAGAACCATCCATTCCATCAAAAACAATCCATCAATTCACATGCAAAACCACCATTAACACACATGCACCCAAACAAAGCCAACCTAGCTAACCCTACATGCATTCTTTATGCAACTCTTCATCATTCCACCATTCATTCTTTATTCCACAAACAAGTCACATGCATTTCCACCTTCCTACTTCATCATTTCACCACATTCTCCCTCTTTAACTCATTTCATTATTCATTCACTTTGCATTCATTCAATTCCACCCCACATGCACCCTTTATTCTTCATCATTGCAACCATGACACATTTACACCAACAAAACAACTCCCATGCCATGGCCTACTCATATTCCCATTTCCTTTCCAACATCTCACATGCATTTCCACCTTCCTACTTCATCATTTCACCACATTTTCCCTTTTATTTCCACATGCAATTCTTCATCATTGTAGCCACAAACACCTTAAACAAATAGCCATATACATCTCCACTCCTCCTATAAATACCCTTGCATTCATTCATTCAAAAATCATCTCATCTCATTCACAACACAACACACCACAAACACTTCCCTAGCCGTGAGTTTCTCTCCCTTAGAATCCAAAAACCATCTTCCATTTCCACCACTCCTCATCCATTTCCATAATTTCCCAACACTTCCATCCCCCCAACCAACTATCCCTAGACCTTATGCTACAATAAAGAGGAAGATAAGAGGGCCTAAACGTTCATACAATTCAAGATTGAGTTGTTGGAATGTTTAGGCGTTTCTTTGATTTCAATGTTTAATTTCAATTCTCTTTGTTTTGTACGTATGAGGAAATAAACCCCCTTTAGCTAGGGGGTGATTCGAAACTATGTTTATGTTTGTAATATGATTTGATTACTTTTAATTACGTTTCATAATTTGTGAATTCAATTTGTTTAACTGTTTAATTGATAACCTATTTATGTATGTTTATTAAGAATGAACGCTTAATTTTCATGCATGAATTTGACGCTAGAATATAAGTGAGTTTCACGTAATAGTTATGAACTTATATTCACAAGTAGTGGAGGTTGCTTATAAACAATCGTGTTAAACATATTCTTGGCATAAGTTTCATGCAATCATAGTAACGAATGCCTCGTCAACACTTATAGTTTTCATGATGCTTAATGATTCTTGCTTGTATCTCTATTATGCAATTCATGTAGGGAACTTGTGAGGAATGCTTTGGATTGTCGTATGCAATCATCCAATTCATTAACTTAAGGAAAACTTGACGGTTAATTTAAGCGGACCTAATTAACCCGGGGCGTTGAGAATTCATGGTTTATTGAAAAGCAATTAGACATCGTTTTGTATGCAAGTATAACATATGTGGAGATGAACCCCTTAGCTAGCTTCCCATCCATTCATTTCCGTCAAATCCATATTTACAATTTGTTTTATTTCCAAGTTTCCATTTTTAGTTTAAAGTCGTCCAAATCCAATCCCCCTTTACTTTATTGTTCAATTTAGTTAGAAATCAATTTAGTTTGTGTTTTTAAAGCATTTTGAGTCTTTTGGTTTGTCTTAGTGTTTTAACGTTTAGTTTCACATTCTTTGAGTCTAGTTTAGTGTTTTATCTTGTTTTTACGTTTTTGAGTCAGTTTCCAAGGTTTTAGCAATCCCTCCTAATCCCCGGTCCAGAACGATCCCTCACTTATACTTATACTACAATTGACAAAAAGAGGGTTTAATTTGTGTGCGTATAAATCTCGCATCACCCAGCGAGCTTGAAGGATACCGAAACAATGCTCCACATCCTTCCTGCACCCCTCTTGACAGCTTGCAAAGTGTTTTTCCTTTGCACTCTGCTGACGTGGCACTGTTTTGACAAATGTTGACCATCGTGGGTAAATGCCATCAGCTAGGTAGTATGGTCCATCGTACATATGTCCGTTGACCTCATACGTAACTTTTGGTGCCTTTCCTTGCAGGACATCGTTGAACACTAGGGATTGGGTAAGGACGTTGATGTCATTTTGAGCTTCCGGGACCCTGAAAAAGGCGTGCCAAATTCATGTATCAAAAGATGCCATCGCCTCTAGAATGATACTTTTTGCTCCTTTTCTGTCCCTGTAAGTGCCTTGCCATGCACTTGGACAGTTTTTCCACGTCCAGTGCATACAATCAATGCTTCCAATCATCCTAGGAAAGCCACGCATCTCCGTTTTCTTCAACAGCCGCTCCAAGTCCATGTGTGTAGGTTTGCGGAGGTACTCAGCGGTGTAGATAGATTCGATTGCTCCGCAAAACCTCATCAGGGATTCAAGAATGGTTGATTTCCCCATCCTCGTTATCTCATCCACTTGGTCTGCAGATGCTCCATATGCAAGCATCCGCAAGGCAGCAGTAATTTTTTGCTCAGGCAGTAGACCCATAGCACCAAAAACATCTTTCTTTTGCGCAAAATAAGAATCATGGTTGCAAACATCAATCATGATTTTGTTGAACAAATGTCGTTCCATTCTAAAACGACGTTTAAAGTACGTATCAGAGAATGCACTATTAGGAACAAAATAATCATCCAAGAGTTC